GACTCACTTGAGCCCAGGAGTTGGAGGTTGCTGTGAGCAGTGAAGCCATGGCACTCTACCCAGGGGCTCAGCTTGAGGCTCTGTCTCAAAAAAATAAAATAAAATAAAATAAAATGGTTAATATGGTAAGTTTTATGTTATGTGTCTTCACAATTAAAATTTTTTTTAACTTAATGTCATCAACTGTTAAAGACAAAAAACTTTAAATGCTTGCAGAGAACTCATGAACTCCAAATAAATATTCCTGCAGATACCCTTTCCCACATTGCTTTGATCCCTTCTCTAGCCTCAACTCCTAGCCTGGGATTTGAAGAGAACCTCACTCTGACTTTTCCTACACGTCACTGTTACCTCAACTGTAACCAACCTTCAGCTCCAACTAGCTGGCGTCCACTCACCTTGACTCACATCCTCATCTCTTTGCCTTATCTCTCACTTGATTTTATTATCTCATCCTTCTGTTTATTTAAGTCTCTTTACCTCCTCATAGTAGGATGGATGGTCCTAGCCCACCCACAGGACTGCCTCCCCCCATCAGAGGGTATCAGTGCACCCCATTTGGCATCAGTGACACATTCTAACTTATTTCACCTCTTGTCATCCCAATCACTCAACAAATATTCATTGAGCATCTGCCTAACACAAGATAACACGCTGGGCCCCAACTCAAACACTACATTTTCTGCTTTTCGTCTCTCTCGTAGCCCCTCGCGCATTTCACCAAGGTTTATTACAGCATGTAAATGAGTTCATGCCAGTCTGTGCTGTCATACTCCACATACGCACAGCAAATTTTACATCACTGAAATTAAAAGCAGTATACTACCAGCACTTGCCTAAAGTAACAAGACGTTTTGTTGTTTAGTAGTGTGTTTTTTATATCAAACTTTAAAAAGCCATTGTTGGCTGGGTGCCCGCAGTACAGTGGTTACAGTGACGGCCGCATACACCAAGGCTGGTGGGTTCGAACCTGGCCTGGGCCAGCTAAACAACAATGATGACAACCTCAACAACAACAAAAAAACACTGGGCGTTGTGGCAGGCAGCTGTAGTCCCAGTTACTTGGAAGGCTGAGGCAAGAGAATCACTTATGCCCAAGAGTTGGAGGTTACTGTGAGCTGTGACGCCACAGCACTCTACCAAGGGCAACGTAGTAAGACTGTCTCAAAAAAAATAAATAAATAAAAAGCCATTGTCAATACAAGAAAAGTTTCAAGACTGACTTCAGTGGGGATTATGTAGTAGAGAACTCTAGCCCTGGTTGTTGGGTGTCCATGATGATAGCTATAATGAATGCCTGGGATCAGAGAGAGCATCCAGATCAGCTACTGTTTCAAAAATCCCCCTTGAAGACAGACAAATTGTCAAGAAACATATGGGAAAATGCTCAATATCACTAATCATCAGGGAAATGCAAATTAAAACCACAAGGAGATATAACCTCACTCCTGTTGGATTGGCTCTAATTAAAAAGCCCCAAAACAAGAGATGCTGGTGTGGATGCAGAAAGAAAGGAACACCTATACACTGTTGGTGGGATGGAAAATTAGTACAACCTCTATGGAAATAGTATGGAGATTCCTCAAAGAACTAAAAGTAAACCTACCGTTTGATCCAACAATCCCACTACTGGGATCTACCCAAAGGAAAAGAAGCCATTTTATCAAAAAGATCTCTGCACTTAAATGTTTATCACAGCACAACTCACAATTGCAAAAATGTAAAATCAACCCACGTTCCCATCAATTCATGAGTGGATTAACAAAATATGGTATGTGTATACCATGGAGTACTACTCAGACATAAAAAAGGATGAATTAATGCCTTTGCAGCAATTTGGAAGGAACTGGAGACCATTGTACTAAGCAAAATACTTCTCAAGAATGGAAAAACAAACACAATACGTACTCTCTAATAAGGAACTAACTGATGGGCAGACATGTAAAAGTCACTGGAAATCAAGCAGGGAGTGGGGAAGAGGAATGGGGGAGAGGGGTATACTTAAAGGGTACAACGAATGCTATTCAGGTGATGAGCACACTTACAGCCCAGATTCAAGCCATGTAACAAAATTTGTATCCCCTTATTATTTAGGGGGAAAAAAAGTTATCCAGAGAGGGCAATGAAGAATCATTTAATTATTTTCTCCAACTTTAAATTTATTAAAATATTGATAGAATACATTGGAAAATCCCCTTTGAATATGATTTACCTAATAGACATGCAAAAACACAAATAACTTTATTCACATGTTAGAAGAGTGAGTAGACAGAGTTTTAAGGACACTTAATACAATCAATTTCTTAAACTCAGATTTGATTTTTAAAAAATTATATTCAAGCTCTGAGCATTTTACTTACAGAATTTTGCATGTGACTCACTTCTTTCTGCACAAAGGTAAAATACTATCTGTATTTGCTCAATTCCCATTATTTTACTGTTTGAATGTGATTTTGTACCCTCAGTCATTCCAATATTAGTCAAAGGTTACACTTTCTTTCACTCTTAGCCTTTTTTGGGCTTCACTTTCTCTCTTTATGTTCTCTAGTATAGCTTCGAGGTGTAGGGTATTCATTCCCAAGATCCACAACAATTACCTCCCTAGAAAATGTCACTCCTTTTAAAGGTCTTTTTTGGCTTTCAGCACCTGAATGAACTCTACTGAGAGATGTAGGTGTTTTCTCCATATTGGCACCCTGCAAGAAAATGGGACAAATATCAGAAATGATCAAGTTATGAACTTAACAAGCTTTGCTTTTAAAAATATAATAGGATATCTTATCAGAGTGGTCCTGGACATTTCAAATATAGATAGATACATAGATAGATGACAGACTATATCTACATTGTTAATGAGAAACAGAAAGAGTATTTCTAAATAATACAGTGAAGCAGTGATAATCCACCATGATCATATTTTCATATTTCTATGGTTATAAAAGCATACATTGACATATTCAAATAACATTTGGTGATACATTATTTTCTCTAGGAAGTGGTTAAACTCAAGAGCCACCTGGACTTTTGTTCTGTCATGGACTGGGCATGGCTGTGTGGTGGGAGGGCATGTGAGCTGTTCTCATCAGGGAGCCCCAGACATGGAGTTTCAGAAGGCCCTGGCCATGTCTTCTGCTGTGGCAGAAGGAGCCAGGACTACTGCAGGGACATGTGTGGTCCTGAGTTGGGCCATGGTGGAGAAGAAATAATTCATCTCATTTTGGCAATAGGAGAGAATTAGATCCCTATATCATCTCTTTCTTTTTTTTCTTTGTTTTAGAGACAGAGTGTCACCCCATTGCCCTCTGTAGAGTGCTGTAGCATCACAGCTCACAGCAACTTCCAACTCCTGGGCCTAGGTGATTCTCCTGCCTCAGCCTCCTGAGTAGCTGGGACCACAGGTGCCTGTCACACAATGCCTGGCTATTTCTTTTGTTGCAGTTTGTCCAGGGCCAGGTTCGAACCTGCCACCCTTGGTATATGGGGCCAGTACCCCACGCACTAAGCCACAGGCATCACTCAGATCCCTATATCATTTCTTACAGCTCTAAGATCCTAGCAATCTGAGTAAACTGAAGGGGAACTATTAAGAAAAACACAATTGGAGGAATGAAGAATGGTTTAATGACAACAATCGACAGGCTAAGAAGAATGGTTTAAGTAACTGAGGACACTGAATTTCTTCCAAATACAAACCTAAGTTGCAGGCAACTCCATCCCTTATTTTTATACCTTGCTGAACAATTTACCTCCTTTTCAGTCATTCTAATTTGCCCCTTGAGAGTGGAAAAACACATCACCTCTTGACCTTCAACTTTTGTTTTTTCCTGACTTCTCTCCTTGCTCCCTGTCCTTGAGCTTTCCTTAGTGTGTCTCTGGACAAGAATGCCAGGCCTCACCGGCATAGTTTCCATTACGTCCCTGGAAAATCAATCAGCAGGATTTTAAAAATTCATGCATTTCACACAAAAAAGGCTTTCTACCACATCCTCAGAAAGAGACTTACTTTCCTTGGTCTTCTGGGTTATTCTTCTCCCCATCAGCAGCTGCACAAGCACCTCCATCGGCATCTGTACAAGGAAGTGTTTCTGCCTCTTCATCTCCTTTGCCGTGAATACTAAAAACAAGCACAATAAATAAATTAATTAAATACATTTAAAAAAAGAAATTAGAAAAGGAAGAATTGTCCTGATTTTAAGGTATGCGATAGAAACTTCACTTTTAAATGGAAATTAGCATTTCTAAAGCCCTGAAATGGAAAAAGTAGATAGCTGGGGCATTATTAATTGTTCTATTTTAAACTGTTTAATATTATTTCTAGATACATCTGTTAGTGTGACTTGAAATCTGATCCCAATTTGTCAGCATGGATTTATACCATTTATAGAAAAAAACCACCAATAAAAGGAAGATGCAAATGAGGCAAATTAGAAGGATGATGAAGAAAGTGACCGCTGTGGTTTCAACATTCGTAGTTTTAGCTAGAAGACTCATCCACTCTCACAATCACAGATTGTCCAACTATTCCTTTCCAGCTCAGTTTGAATGTAGTTCTCTTGTTCTTTAAGTTTTCTGGAAACAGAGGAATAAAAGGCTGTTTTCACTGTTGTTCTTTTGATCAGTTCAGCTTCATAAAAGATGTTCTGCTTGTTTCAGTGCAGTTGACTCACACTGGCTAATTTCTCTCCATAAATTTGGTGGGGGCTGAGGTGGCTGGAGGGGAGACTGAGCTGGGACACGTGTGATCACTCAGCTCACCTCCCCTCACCCCAAAACTATCCGAATCCAGAGGAGAGAGGAATAGGAGCAGCTGGAGCTGAGCCCAGCTCCCCATTCTTCTCCCTTCAGTGACATCATAGAATCATGGAGCCCTGGAGTTACAGAGCCCAGAGTGGCAGCCCAGCCAGTCACCCAGGGGCAGGAGAGCCACTGAATTCTCCTCGGTTGTCACCTGTCTGTCCTCTCCTCTGAGAAGCTCAGGGTGGAAGCTACATGGCATTGTCTCTATCATTCTTTGGACAAGGACTTTCTATCTGCTCTCCAAATACCATCTTTCCTTTCCTGATCCAAACCTTCTCCTTCTGTTGCTTCCTTCACAGACCATGAACAATTGGTCCAATTCCTTCTTATAAAATCCCTCTCTATAGCTCCAAGGTCAAGAATCAACTTACTTGTTAATGGTGATTTCTCCAGGCTAAGTAGCCCATGTCCTTCTAATGCCACTTCATCAGACCTACTTTCCGGACACACAAGAGAACAGGCAGCTCTAAAGGCCATGTCTGAGGAAGCCAGACTGAGACAAGACAGGCAGAGTGAGGATGGTCCTGGCCCGACCTGACTTCAGGTAACAATGAGTGATGCCCAAAAATGAGGGAAAGAGTGAAGCTAGAATTTTCTGAGAAGAAGAAATAAGAGAAAATGGCAGTTACATCTAGAAAAGTCAAAGGGGAGCCTGGGGAGCAAGGGGTATCTTGGTCTATTTTGTGCTACTGTAACAGAATACCAAAGATTGGGTAATTGATACAGAAAAGAAATTTATTTCTCACAGTTCTGAGGCCTGGAAAGTCCAAGATCAAGGCACTCACAGGTTAAGATCTGGTCTCTGTTTCCAAGATGGTGCTTTGAATGCTCGTCCTCTGGTAGGGGAGGAACGGTGTGTCCTCAAAGGCAGAAGAGAAGAGAGTGGACCCATTGCCCCAAGCCCTTTTTGTAATGGTATTGAGATATTCTACCAAATAAGGACCTGTGCATTCCACACATGTCAAATGAACTAGGGCATGCGGGTGTGATGTCTGTAAGCACAAGCAGAATTTGTTGGAGGGCTCAGGTCAAAGCCAATTTTGCAGAATATGTGAACATCTGAGCCACTCCTGACAGAGTCAATGGAATTCCTGGACAGTTTCTGGGGCCAAGGCTCCCAGATGAAGATTCAGACCCCCTTACACTTGTTATTATATGCTGCCAGAATAAGACTTTACAAACTCAAATCTGCTCATATGCCATGTACATAGAACAGCTTTTTCTGGGAAGATAGAAATATTTTATATCAATTTACTGATGGTTACAGAGGCAGAGATGGCTCTTGACTAACAAAAGTTCAATTTACAATTTTTGGCTCGGCGCCTGTGGCTCAAGCGTCTAAGGCGCCAGCCACATACACCTAAGGTGGCGGATTGGAATCCCCAGCCCAGGTCCACCAAACAACAATGATGGCTGCAACCAAAAAATGGCCGGGCGTTGTGGCGGTTGCCTGTAGTCCCAGCTACTTGGGAGGCTGAGGCAGGAGACTAGCTTGAGCCCAGGAGTTGGAGGTTGCTGTGAGCTGTGATACCATGGCACTCTACCCAGGGGGATAGCTTGAGGCTCTGTCTAAAAAAAAAAAAAAAACTTTACAATTTTTAGACTTTGTAATGGTGTGAAAGTAATACACATTCAGTAGAAACTGTACTTCAAATTTTGAATTTTGCTCTTTCCTTGATTTAGTGATATGCCGTAGGAAAAAAAGGAAAACACCAAGTTTTTTTCTCCCCCTCACTGCTGCTGCAGCTCCCAGTCATCTGTGTGACCCCAAGGGCAAACAGCCAATACTTCATGTACTACATTTAGTAAATTATACTTTATTATAAAATAGGCTTGTGTTACCTTTTATTATAAAATAGGCTGTGTTGGATGATTTCACCCAGTTGTAGGCTAACATGAGTGTTTTGAGCATGTTTAATGTAGGCTAACCTAATGTAGGCCTAATGTAGGCTAACCTATATGTACTAAATGCATTGGCAAAGGGGGATAGTGATTGGGTTCAAGCAACTAAGTATGTCATTCCTGATGTTTGATAGATTAGGTGTACTAAATGCATTTTGACTTAGAATATTTTCAACTTACAACAGGTTTATCAGACATAATCCCATCATAAATAAAAGAGCATCTATATATACAGTCACACACCTCATAGCAACATTTTAGTCAGTAACAGACTGCATATACAACAGTGGTTCCATAAGATTATAATGCCATATTTTTACTCTACCTTTCTTATATTTAGATATGCAAATATTTGCCATTGTGTTATAACTGGCTATAGTATTTACTACAGTAATATGCTACTGTATATGGGTTTGTAGCCTAAGAGCAATAGGTTGTACCATAGTCTGTCCAGATGAGCAGTAGGTTATACCATAATACATCTCTGTAAATATATTCTATGATGTTTGTGCAACATTCTATGATGTTTGCACAACAACAAAATTGCCTAACAACACATTTCCCAGGATATATCTGTGTCATTAAGCAATGTATAACATATGCATAGTTACCATCAAACTATGCATTTAAAATTAGTGCACTTATACCCTCTACTGTGTGGATATTTGCTATATCCTGACTACGGTGGAAAAAAGGGCCCTATTCCCAAGCCTGAATTTGAATGTGGTGGAAAGAGTACTGCTGGACCAGAGGTCACTGCTGCTAGCTGGCCCTGTCTCTAAGACTGTCTGCCACACACATTCTGACACTGGAGACCAGAATAAGGATATAGCAGTAGGAACAAGTGAGGGTTGATAAGACTGCATCATAAGGGCTTTCGCTGAATGTGGTTTGGGGAATCGATACCTTAAATTTATACACATAGTTAATATAATTATTTGTATTTTTCTTTGTTTCCTACTTTTTTCACACTCTTAGTAAAAGATATATAGTTAATATAATTTTAAAAAGTGGAAAGTTACCCAACTTAGGTCTCTAAACCACATTTTTTGTTTTTTGAGACAGAGTCTCACTCTGTCACCTGGGGTAGAGTGCCATGGCATCATCAAAGTTAAGTCACATTTTAAATGTATTGTACTATAAGCTCTGTGAGATTATGAGGTTTTACTCAGAGATGGGTCTGCAGGGCCTAACACTTTATGCCTGGCACACAAATGTTTGTTCAAAAATTATTTGTAGTAGGACATTACTACTGATTCTAAAGAAATAAAAAAGGATTTTAAGAGTATTATTAATAATCATATGCCCAAAATTGGGTAACCTAGATGAAATGAAACTATTCCTAGGAACACAAAACCTACCAAGACTAAAACATAAACTGAAAATCTGAATAGACCTATAATGACATTGGTTCAATAATCAAAAACCTCCCAACAATAACAACAAAAGCTCTGGACCAGATGACTTCACTTGGGAATTCTACCAAACATTTAAATAAAAATTAACATCTGTCTCAAACTCTTTCAAAAAACTGAAGAGGAAACACTTTTTTTTCTTTTTCTTAAGGCTAGTCAAGTGAAGCAGTGGGAGGAGGAACCACTTTCTAATCATTCTATGAGGCTGGCATTGTCCTCATGCCAAAGTCACTACAAGAAAAGAAAACTAAAAGTCAATATCCCTTATGAATATTGATCCAAAAATCCTCAAAAAAATTACTAGGAAACTAAATTCAGCAGCATATTAAAAGAAGTATACACCATGACAAAGTGGGACTTATTCCTGAAATACAAGGATGGTTCAACATATAAAAATCAACTAGTGGAATATACCACATTAGCAGATTGAAGGCAAAACCCCACATGATCATCTCAACTGATGCAGAAAAAGCATTTGACAAAATTTTATCACCCTTTCATGATAAAACCACTCAACAAATGAGGAACAGAAGTAAACTACCTCAACACACCACAAACTTCATATGCAATGTTGGGAAAATATTTGTAAATCACATATCTCATAGTGGATTGGTATCCAGCACACAGAAAGAATTCTCAACAACAACAAAAAACCCAATTGAAAAAATTGACAAAGGGGGACAGTGATAGGGTTCGAGCAACTAAGTATGTCAAACCTCCTTTAACTTCACATATGAAAGTCTCTGCCTCTTTTACAGAGACCCAGCGATCCAGGGATTCTGCTCCTACCACACGTTCAAGAAGTCTGCTACACCTCCACTGAACCCCTCCCCTAAGGAGGAAGAATATATGTGTTGAAAGGCAGAATTGGAAGCAAAAACGGCTGAGCTGGTTCGACAAGCTGATGAAGTAATAAGGGACCAGTAAGAAGTACCATCTAGGCCTATTTCAATAAAATTAAATTATACAAAGAGGAAGATGATTACAGTTTTTCTATTATCATTTGAAGGCATAGTTCACTTCATTCAGAAACTAATCAAAAACATTGGTTCGGTAAACAAGGTTCAAAACAAACTACATTCTGCAAATAAAGAAAGGAAAATAAATTCAAGTGTTAAACTGGAATACTCTGGTGTAGAAACTGCTAATGATGTTGCCATTCCAGGCAATTCCTCAGACTTTTCTCTTGTAAAAATAATAAGCAAAATTAAAGGGCAACTGGAGGAAGAAGGCTTACCTGAATATAGGGACGATGATATTTTCTCTGGTGTTTGTAATTGTTACCAGATGAAGAGGGGCCAGCTGCCTGTCACTGTCAGCCAATATGCAGAGACCGGGATAGGTCCACCAAACTTTACTTGTCAGAAGGCCAACAAT